ATATATATATATATATATATATTAAGATAGAACATAACAAAGGGATATTGAGCATTGATCATTGTGAATAGATTAAGAGTCTCGTAGCTTTTTTCACATATAAATTTAAATCCAGTGTGAGTATTCAGCTTGACTTGTTTCAGTTGTGAAAATCCTAAATGTGGGTGATTGGATCGGGGTGAAAGTCTGCTGGTCGAGTAGTATGATTGCTCTTTTATATTGTCTTCATTCAACCTCACACTGCATTGAGTTATCTTTGATTATGTGTACATGGGCGTTTGTGCCTGTATGAGAGGGACACTTTCTGTCTCTGAGTATTTGGATGGTATTGAGCTCTGTGCACATGCTTTAACTTATCTGTCTGTCAAAGAGAGTCTACTGAACCACATGTCACATGGTTAGCTCAGGTGACCTGTGGGTTAGAACATTTGAACAGAGTATATAAGCCTTGTATTTATGTGGCTTGAATTTCAGTTCAGAGTAGACCCTCCCAGCTCCTCAGTCATGCTGCGCCCCGCGGTCCTCAGCCTCCTCCTGGCATGTGCCGTGTCTCTCACCAGCGCTGCTGTCATCCTAGAGAATGGCATGCCCATCCTGTGGGCTCAGACAGCCGGCCAAGTGACTGACCTGCCGATACAGAACGGCATTCTGACCCCCGACCCCTGGCACTTCCTTCACCGCATGAGTCTTCACCGGCTGATGATAGCTGCCACAGACCCGTTTATGGGATCCATGGGGACGAACGCCACTGACAGTCCAATGTGGGGACTGCCACTGCAGTCGGCATGGATGCTAACTTCAGGTAAGTTGAAAATATTTTTGGAATCTGTTTTTTTTTGGAAGAATTATTTCATAGTTTGTTTTCCTTTCCAAAATGAGAGTTGGTGCAAAAGTGGGCAGTGAATCATTTAGGAGCAGTAATATAAGATAACATAAGATAAGAAAAGAAAAGATATTTTTATTAGTCCAGCAGTAAAGTGGACATTGCAACAAGAGACATCCGTAAAAAATGAAAAAAAAGAAACTAGGGGCAATGACCATTTAATGACCATTTAATGAATAAATAATCGACTTTTACTGTGGGTCCTAAACTGAGTGAACATAACAACACGACGCCACCAGCTACCAAACAATCTAGACACAAACTGATGGCGTTGTGTACAATGTGTTGTTTCTGTAGGGCGTCTCGCTGACCCAACTGCTGCTACAACCTGCGGCCTGCAAACAGGAGATACTATGTGTATTTCTACTCAGAGCTGGTGGGGCTGTAAGTATGACAAACACACACACACACACACACGCACACACACACACACACACACATATAACACTAACAAAACCACTTCTTTCTCCTCCAGGTGTGAACTACTTTGCCTCTGCACTACCTTTCCTGTCCGCTGCACTGCAGGGCTTCATGGGAGCAGGAGCTCAGGTATGTGTGCTGCTGGACATCTCAAACTGAACGTAAGACAGTAGTAAACAAGGCTAAGTCTGCAGCTATACTAGTTTCGGGCTCTGTTAGGCTGCAGGACAGCGATGATGACAGCCTTTGCGTTCCAAATGTGATATAAATTAGTTACATGTGTCTGCTACTAAATGGTGTAGCTGTTATCTCTGTAACACCAACAGAAAGTGCATGGTTTAGTCTCGAACGCAAGGAGTGAAATTATACAATTCATCGAAAACTCTGGATTAGTAACAGAGCCTGTAATACTATGAAAAAAGTAGTATGACAAAAACTAGGTTTTTATTCAACACTTAGGAGTCCACAGGATCTTTCAATTCCAAGCTTCCCATTCATTGTCTATGTAAGCAGCTGTGCAATGCATTCTGGTAAATCGCAAAAAGACAACAAAAGCTAACAATACAATTTTTACATTGTTGCACATATGAGGTGTTGCATTATGTTTGAATTGCAGAGTATTTATATTGCACATATGTACATTGGTACTGATAAATGCTGATATCAACATGTAGCCATGGCCATGATAATAAGGATTGATGTTGACTCCATTAGGTCCAGATGCAGGTCCCTGAAGGTGTACTGGGCTATTGCACAACATATGCTGAGTGTGCAACTAGCTACCCTGACGCCATGACTAAGTGGAATGCCTTCTTCCAGGTACATCAGGGCACATACACTAACAGATCCACGTTACTGATTTTTATGTATCGATACACTCGTGGACACGGAGATAAATAATAATCTCTTCTGCACTTTAAGGAGGTGCAATACTAAATCGCTGGAGGTACCGCCTCACTTCTGTTTGTGTGTGTTTAAAGGGACTCAAGGCTGCGTCTGAGTCTCTTCTCCCTGAAAATGAGAAGAAAGACGCTCTCCTCGGTCTCTTCTGGGCGGCCCAAATGGCTTCAAGTTATGCCTCTGCTGCATGCAATTCCAGGTAATGTATCTATCTATCTATCTATCTATCTATCTAATTTGCCTCAGAGGGCCTTTGACCCTCGCCTCGGATTATAAAAAATATAGTATAGTCACAACGAGCCCTAGTGCCCGCTGTGATGAGGGGCCCAGGTGCATGCTGGTTACTTGTTCTGAAGCGCGACACACACTCACATCATTAGGCATATATATTTAACCAAAAATGTGTTGGATTTTACAGTCAAATGACCCCCCCCCCCC